TTTGCCGTATTTTTTTAGGGTCTACTTTATAGGCATGTACAGGTCTACTTTAAGTGGGTTCAGAAACAACCAATGAGGCATTATACTATTTAAAACTTACGTCTTATTTAAACTACACAAATACATCACAGACTTCTTCACTTCTTAGATCTTCAGTAGAATGACACGAGCTTATTTTCCCGTAAACATTACCAGAAGATTGCCTTCTTATAGTTCTTCACTAAGTATTATCACAAATGGGGTGATAACCTGATATTGCTACTTATTTAGAGATCCAACATCTTTTACAATGGCTTTTTAAAAATATTCTATGATACAAATTCAATGTATTATATGATCTTAGCCATTAAATCGGAAAAAATGGAATTAGAAAAATTTCTGTGGTAAAAAAATTGCATTTTTGGATTATTAAATGCTAAAATGGCCTCCAACGGAACATTAAATTGTTCGGAAGAAGTATACGAACAACGAATTCAGTTTGTTTATGTAACTTTTACGAGTATTTCGGTGTAAAGAACAGACATCGTTGGTGTTTGTAAATATTAGGATTGAAATAAATGGCGCTCCGAGATAAAGGGAAATATTTTGAATAACTAAATTATTATTTATAACAATACCCTTTGTTGTCTAGTAACTCCGTCAGATAAATCATGTGATGTTTTTATAATGTGTCAAAATGACACTAGGAGAATTGACAGATTTACACATGTTTTTCATAGACCGAATTTTATACATACAATAGGGCGGCAAACTACGAGTAGACCTTAAAACCTGATGGTAAGCAATCATTGCCACTCATGATATTCGTAACACCTAAGGAGCTACAGATGCGTTGCCGCACTTTTCAGGATGGTTAGGGATTTGGGTATTGAAGAGTTCGGGTGCCGAAGCGAAGTGGTGATTACGTGCGTCTTCCGCACCTAATCACTGCTATGACTACTTAGTCGCATCGAACACTCAGACCCTAAATCCTAATTAATCAGACGGGGTTGCGGATCAGCTCAATAATGTACCGTGGCCCTGGAAAAGGAGAAAGACCTCTCTCTTGACCTCATTTAGAGAGGGGTCACGTACACGAGTGACTTTTCCGACTCAAAACTTTTTTAAGTCAACTACTGGCTGTTTTTTATTCATTAGATTCGAGTAGTGTTTATGGACAATCAGAACATATGAAAAAAGATACAATAATGCATATAGTTACTCTACATATACATATCAATGTAGTACTACGTCGATACATAAGTATATGTAAGTAGGTATATACCTAAAGGGACTTAATTCCAGACCAGATGTTCTGAAGTAGCAATATATCATGTATCATATGAAATCTGACACCAAAGAGTACCTATGTTGTGGTCATTTTATAGTTTACCGCATAAAAATAGTTTTTGCTTAGTCGTGTTTATTTATGCCTGTAACCACAGACTATACATAACAAGTAAGTAACTATTATAAGTAGCGACATAATAATAAAGGTTAACATGGGTTGGTATTTGTATTACTTCTGTTTTTTTCTAAGGTAAAACAATACTTATCGAAAAAACTTCGGTACATTTTTTTGACTTCGATTTTATGGTGGATCATATTTAGCATCTATTTATTTGTAGATTTCCAATAGACGGGATTTGATACAGGATCATAAAGATTAAAAACAAATCAACCGAAAAAAAAATTCTACTTAGTCGACCCTTTTGTAATTACTAGGCGAGTTTAAAAACAAAGTACTTTTTAAATGCACATGCCTATTTGCTACACTAGCGCCACTTTTTGACAAACAAAAAATAGCCTTAAACGATTAAAATAGGTCATTATATGAGCTGTAAGTATCTACAGAAGAAGGATACTATTCAGGAACTTAAGATGCAATTCTCCTTTCCGTTATTGATTCTCATCAGCATTCGCAGACAATAAAATCTACACTTAACACGACATAAGTATTTATTGATGCAAAGATTACTATATCTGTTGCCATCTATAAGAGTAACAACATCCTCGACTATTGTTATATAGAATTGCTTTCTAAACAATAGCCATGCCTTGCGAGTTGTGTTCCGATCACCTTTTGTTTTTCCATAACAATACGAACAAATATAGATGAAGGATCTCGCATCATAGGAAACGAATGTTAAGAATACTAAAATTGATTTTATTTTAATTTTAACATATTTCTTATACATACACACATTTATATTTTAGGTATATTATGTGTTTATGATATTTTTCTTCTGGGTAGGTAAATAAAAATTCGCGTAATTGAGTGTTGACCTTAATTAAAGGACCTGAATATGCGGTTAATTTTAAGAAAGGTTTGCAGAAAGCATTAGAGAAAGAGATTAGAGAAGATCTTTTTAATGATTCTTTCTTTAAAGAGATCTTCTCTTTAATGCTTCGTAAAAGGAATAATGGTGATGATCCTTCTTGCTCTATCAAAGAAACTCCATAATAAGGTAGTATGTGATAACAGGACGCCGGATAGGAGATTAGAAGAGAAATTCTTTAAAGAGGAGACATGTAGTTAGTTATGTACATTACGATAGGTACTTATTTTGTTTCAGGGCCAATATTCGCTACAATGTTCGTCAACGTCTGCTTCTATTACGTCGTATTTTTTATTTAATTATCGATATTTCAAGCCAGACTTTTCAATATCTAATTCAAACCGTTTTCTTGGTGAGCTTAAGCTAATTTTTGTGATGGTGTAATCTAATTTAGTGGTCCTAAAACTGAAAACGAGCGACAGATGAATAGGCAGCATTCTTAAAAAAATATCAGCATTCTTAAATGACAATAATGTAACAAGATAATGGAATAAATTCCAACGACACATCATCCCGTTAGTCATTGACCACTTCAAATCATATAAAGAAAATCAAGTGTTTTGTTTGATTATGAACAAGAAAATAAATAATAAATGTAACGCAATGGCGGACATTGTATTCATAAATTGTACGATAACATTGATGGAAACGCATAAATTGATTGCTCAAGCTCAAGCAATCAGTTATCACGTGTTATCAATATGAATTCCGATACGGTAACGTGTTCCTGTATTGAATACTTCTATTGGTATCAATAGCTTGTAATATCAATGTTACAATTGACCTAATCAAGTTTGTAACACTTATAAAATCTCGCCTTGAAATTTGGGAAGATTATGAATTAAAAATACCTAAAATAGTAAGAAGTTTTGGGTTATAAAAAAAACAAAAGAGGAAAAATACTTCTTCAACTAAGAATCGCTGCTGGAAGAAAAATGCAATGCGAAAATCGTATCAGAAGTCTTGAGTCTTGAGTGATATATGTATATTCAAGAAAAGTATTTTTGTGTCTCAACCTTGTGATGTTCAGTATATTGAGGCACTTGTGGGAGATCTGTTTGTCACACCGGGCATGTACTGCGAGGGTCTGCAGACGAACGATCAAGAGTAGCTCGCCATCCGACCTGAACTAGAATCGTATGTAGGGCGCGTTGCGTTTCGCGTCCGCTTCGAATCAGGCCCAACAGGGCCAATATTCAGCCAGGGTTGGAGTGCAAACGCATAATGTATCGTGGTCTCGGCCTGGAGAAGGACAAGGAGCGTGGTGGTTTATAGTCAGTAAGTTTGAACTCAATCTCGTCTCACCTAGGGCGGAAGAAAACATTTGACGATCTCTCCATCCACACATAAAACCTGCATAAACATATTAGTTCAAACTCACCCACTGATGGGTAAATGCCTCCCCTTTTTTGCCATTCTTCCTAGTCTTGTGCGTCCCTGATCCATGATCCATATAGTTATCCAGAATTTCATCCCAGGATTGACAATTTTGAATTGTAAAATCGCATTAATCTGGTATTGTTCAGACAAGCGGTCCAAACAGGATCAGTCGTGATCCTGTGACCTCTAAACTAGTCAGACAAGAACATAATTTAAAAAAATCTAAGCTAAACCATCCAATGTTTACACATTAAGCACATCATCCGCGGCTCGAAAGAGTCCACTGTAAGCTTGTGTAAATGTATCTTCTATATAATCTTTACAAATGAGGGGAATGCCATAATTGCCCCAAAGTTTAAAAGGACCAGGTTTAATAGAGTTTTTCTTTTAGAGAGGGCGAAAATCAAATGGCTTCTACCACCCTGGGTGGGACAAATAGCTAATAAGAGGATTCTGTAGCCCCTTTTAAATAATACATACTTAGTTGCCTAGTACAAGGATGCTCTTACAATAGAGACCCATAGATAGAAATGGTGGAGGACAAATCTATTTTACTCCCAAGTCGCAATTCTCTCAAAGTAGATTTCTATCTAACTAATATGCATACAGGTACTTCTTAAGTAGGTTAGTATCGTGTACATTAAGTAAAAACGTCGCCAATTTCGCTCGTCAACTGACAACTTGGTACCTACGTATGCAAAAACCGTTACAGCCGCGCTATAACCTGTACTTTTCAAAACCACGTTTTGGTTCTAGTCTAAATAGACTTGGTCAGTGTCCTTAGGGGAGATATTCGATTTTTAAAATGTCAGTTGGTTTTTTCAAATGATTCTGTCTGGTGTTCGTTTTTAGTACAGCTGCGTATGTAGGTACCTATGTGTATAGGAAGTGTGTGTGAAAATCAAACTCGTTTCTCTTAGGTGACCTAATGGATGCAACTTTCTTACGTATCATAAGACCTAAGTTTTAATACTTTTTTATTTCTTTGGTGTTTTACGTAATATATAAATTACTTTATAATCATTAATGTAGGAAAAGTTTTCGATTAAAAAAATATATTTGATATTTTATAAGATTAATATTTTTTGATCTAGCGTCGGACGTGATAAAGTTTTGGTTAAATAGCTGCAAAGTCGATAAAGTTTTTGATTTCATATAAAATGTATTTTATTGTAAGTATAACAGCTTCAATTTACCTTTTTGTTGTTTATAGAGAAGACTTGGATTGAAAAGAGGAACATAATCCGTAAATTTTCCTTTTTTAATTCATTAAAACAAAAAAAAAATAAAACACAAACTTACCTCCGAAAAACAATTTCACATTACAATCAGAAACATCCAAATAGATTTCGTTTTTTGAATTAAAAACGCACACGAACCACTTGCACCGGTTACAAAACACAATTATTTATATAGTTTATACACTCTACACTACGTTCAAAACAAAATTTTGTGTAAAAAGTTTTTATAATTTCAACCGCAGTTATATGGCGTACGTTTGCCGCGGACGCCGGATCGCGACTGTGCTCACACAACTGTGGTGGGCAACGTTTCTAATTTTATCGTACCAGTAATACGAGATAAAGACGGCATTATTGAGATATACTTTTTTAATTTTATTATTACTGGTATCAAAGAGAAAATCAACGATTCAATAAAGGAATTGGAGACCATTGAGTTCTGTATGCATCATATAAATAAATGTACACGGTAAAAATATATAAGGCAAATCATTCATTAGGTATACGTCTTCGAGTTGAGAGATATAAAGTTTATATTTTCCTGCATGGTCTTCAATGCGGTTGTGATGCCTCTAGCATTGGATGCATCTTAGGCTATGATAACCGCTTGCCTTCCATCCGCTGATCAGATTAACTAATGTATAAAGGGGTTTGACGATACCATGGCCTCACAGAAAACCGTTTTGTTTCGCCGTGTGAGTGAGGTTCCCAATCCTTGAATCTCCGAAATCTTAAAGGTTGGTAATGTACTCGCAACTCGTCAGGTGTTGCGGATGTATATGGGCGGCGTTGATTGCTTACCATCAGGTATTCCGTCTGTTCGTTTGCCTTCCAATGGCAGAGTATTGTGGACGAAACGGTAAAAATTGTAACAATACCCTTCGTTCTTTGTAAAATATCTCAAAATCTCTTGAATTTCTTTGCAAAGGAAAACAGGCCCCTAACTGGGATTATCCGGCGTTAGTGTCTTTTAATTGTAGCATATAAGTATCAAGTATAAAAATGTCTAAAAAGACATTTTTATACTATATAAACTTTGAGAGTGTTGCTTCAGTCAATATTATGAAACAAACTTTGGCATTCACTGCCATTGGCACTGTCTCCAGTCATTCTTCCTGCAATCATTAGAATTCTGGCGAATGTCGACTGTAGGTGTCCGCTAGTAGATCGCAGATGTTACGAAATCCTATAATAACTTCAAACGAATGAAGATATCTAGGAACGCAGTCTAAGAGTTTGTTTATTGAAAGAAATCTCAAAGCTTATAGCAAAAATTTTTTCGAAAAACTAAAGTTTTTTTATGTGATAGCTTGGCAAACCAGTTGACGGATTACTTGATGGTAAGCAGTCAGCGCCGCCCATGGACACCCGGTTAAACGGAGGAGTTACGAGTGCCTTGCCGACCTTTAAGGGATTAGTCTACTACAATTACTTACTAAGTCTGTCTATCGCTGTACCTATGTAATGTCTTACATTAATGAGATTACCTATCTCCACTGACGGACTACTTGTCTATTTTAACTTCGACTTTTGATTTTCATTATCAATCGGAATCGGAAGACTCAGATTTATTAGTCAATTTATTGGTAGGTCATTGCTAACAATGTAGCACAATTTTAATATCTAAGTCTAGGTGAGCAATGTTTAGGCACAAATCGGCAGGATCCACCGGAGTGCCTTAGGGTATATCGACGTGATACAATGCTTGTTTTGAATTTCCCCGTGTAAGTGAGGACCGGAATCCTTAAATTTATCATTAACGCACAACTGAACTTTGTAACTCCTTTGATGTTGTCTATGGTTAGCTATTAGCATCAGGTGTTCCATATGCTCGTTTGCTGACCTTTACCGTAAAAAGTTTTAAGTGTGGGAGAGCCATGTTTCGGCAAGAATGGGTCGGCTCGACCGCAGTGATACCACGGCCTCACAGAAAACCTGTTTCGCCGTGTGAGTGAGATTACCGGAAGCCCAATCCTTCCTCTCCCCCAATCCCTTAATCTCCAAAACCCTAATCCCTAAGAGGTCGGCAACGCACTCGTAACTCCTCCGTTGCGGGTGTCCATGGGCGGCGCTGATTGCTTACCGTCAGGTAATCCATCTGCTCGTTTGCCGGTCTATTACATAAAAAAAATATAACACACAATATTAATTACATTCGTACCTATATCATAGTTTTCGATAATTTTCCGCAAATATACGTAATGAATGCTATGATGATACACACGGAAATTTCGTGCAGCGAGCCAACACAATTGTTAGGTAGCATCACGTTCGTAATAAAATTATAATTGTTTTCTATGAATCATCGAGACGAAAATTAGCATGAATTGAATGTTTGTCATCTAACTTATACAACTGGGGAAAATTATTACCTAAATGACTTCTCTACCCCAGGGTAGGGCGAGAGAGAGTGTCAGAGTCTTACTGACTAAATACCCCCCGTTTTTTCTCCTGCTCCAGGCCGAGGCCGCGCGGTTCGAGAGATGATCTCCGGCCACCGTAAGCGCGGGTCTGCGGACGGCGAGTAAGGGCAGCTCGCCGCCCGACCAGGACCAGACCCGAGAGTACGGCGCGTAGCGTTCCGCGCGTGCCTCAAAGAGCCAATAGACCACCACAGACGGGGCCCTATAGGGCTGATGTTCAGCCGGGGTTGCGGGTTGCAGATCACAAGAACGAACGGGGGGTTTTTAGTCAGTAAGAGTCTGATACTCTCTCCCTCCTATCCTGGGCGGCAGAAGTCATTTGATGATTTTCCCCTCGCAAAAAAAGGCCGAGGCCGCTGTACATTATTGCGTTTGGTCCACAACCTCGGCTGGTAAAAGTGCGCCTGAAGATAGGATAGGTTTGTGTAGTAACAGGTAGCCTTCATCATTAGGTCATCACAGCAAAATTGTGCGGCAAATTAGAACCATCTCAATTACGGAGTAAAAAGAACTTACTCCGTGGTCTTAATCCGTCATAAGTTGCGCAGCAGAAAGTCGTCCAGCCATAGGAAATGTAAACCGTAAAACCAAAAATATTTTTGTCAAGATACGTACCTACTCCTATTGCTCATAAAGTGGTGTTTTATGAACCTCTAGTTTGTTTGTTTTATGTGGCTTCGTCGACAAATAGACAATACAACAAAAATTATCATTCGGTTCGAACCAGTAGTATCATCACCGTATAAGTGCCCACTTTAAAGGCCTCTTCTCACACGGAGAAGGTTTGAGTAATAATCACCAACCTTGCTCAAGGCGAATTGGCGATTTGAAACTTATGTTCAGGTTTCCTCACGATGTTCTTCACCTGCCAGTGGCGTCTAAGTAATCATAGAAAGTGGATGTAAATCGGCATAATTCACATTGGTATTTGCTAGATTTTGAATCCCTCATCTACGAGAAGCAAGCGCCACCACGATGTTTTTAGTTTTGCTTTTTTTTATATAAACTCATCAGCTTTGTAATATTCATATAAAATATAATTTAGTGTACACTTACGATAATAAGAAGTCGACATAGATAGACCCATGAAGTGCCTCGACAGGTTGAGGCACGCAGGGCAGAACTCCGCCAGGCTTTAGTGGCGGAGTGGCAGACGCGTTTAGCGCAACCCAAGGTGGGGCACGCCGCTGTAGCGGCAGTAAGGCCCGTTCTAGAGGAGTGGTTCAATAGGAGCCACGGGGCCCTCAGCTTCCGGCTGACGCAGGTGCTTACCGGACACGGGTGTTTCGGGAAATACCTGTGTCGCATAGGTCGGGAGCAGACTTCTCAGTGCCACCATTGTGGTGATTGCCGCAACGATATGGCGCTGCATACCTTGGAGTGTCCAGCTTGGGCCGAGCAGCGCCGTGACCTGGTCGCGGCCGTAGGTGCTCCGGGAAATCTCTCGCTTCCGGCTGTAGTGTCTACTATGGTCGGGAGCGAGTCAGGGTGGAGTGCCGTCGCTACCTTCTGCGAGGCCGTGATGCTCGTAAAGGAGGCGGCGGAAAGGGAGAGAGAGGCTGCCTCCTCTCTCCCCTCCCGCAGCAGACGCACTAGACGTCGTAGAGTGGCCGACCTGCCACTCTACGACGGCCGGCCACCGTAGGGCGCGGCCTGCGGACGACAGACTCGGGGCGTTCTTGTAGTCCGACCAGCAGCAGGCCTCGAGGCGGCGGCGCTGTGTTTCGCGCGCGCCTTATAGTGGAGTCCTGCGGTCGGCCGCAGTGGGTGACGGGGCCCGCCTTACCGTCTGGCGGGCCAATACCCGTCGGGGGGTTGCGACGAATGCTTCGGCGATACCCGCCCCTCTGACACATGGGTAAGTGGTCTTGACAGTACCCTTCGCCTTTCCCCGAGGGCGATGGGTCTCCATGAGGATTTTCCAATAAAAGATGAATGAAAATATACTTAATTATTTTACTTACCGTTTTAGTAGTTTTCCTTGACGTAGGAAGCGGTCATGTGTCACGGGATTACTCAATGCTCGGGCCACTGATATAACAACAAACTACATCCGAATTTAATTACACAAATGTAATTAATCTCGTGTTTTGTAGAGTTCCTTTGTTATTGTTATTGTTCATTAAATTAAAATAGATATAGGTATTTTTCCTGAAGGGATAGATAGGCATGATTAATACTTCTTTGTACCGTTCATTATGACTGACAATATTTTATGTGGGTTGTAGTTTTTTTATTTATCTATTTTAAAAACCGTTGCTCCACACTAGGATTGTCTCCTGAGAAGTGGGTGCGTTGACAAACATAGGATTTCGCAATCACATAATATAAAGACTCGGAACAACTTGCAGGTATCGAACCCGTGGCACTTTGCGCGGGAGCCAGTTGCCCAGCCACCGCGCCTACCAAGTTGTAAGTAGGTGTAACAAGTTCGAAAAAAGGCAGGTAGTTGTAAAAATGGAATTGCGCGATAGATCCTTTATTAGAATTGAAAATGCAACCTCCAAGGTAGCTCATAGATTCGTTCCGATTTTGAGTATGGCAACTACGTTACTATGGTAACGAAACCCAAACATTCGGCTGACAGCGATAAAAAGCGAAGTAGTATTGAGTGTGTTATAGTGTTTTATTAATATTTCCCTAAAATAATAAGGAAAATGGATCTAAAATTAATGGACAAATTGCGACTATTAAAAATTGACACCGAGTTGCGTCCGCAAATAAAAATGAAACCTATGAGTAGGTATTACTTTATCACTGGCACGAACCCGGGCGAACAATTTTACGTTTTCGCCTCCACTGCTGCGTGGCTCATCAGGAAAACTGGGAAGGAATTTGAACAACCAAACGAGGAAGATGCTCCAAACAGTATTATTGCTACTATCCTTGATATTTTGAGAGAAAAGGACATCGCAGTAGATTTCTCCTCTCACAAACTTAAACAAGGGTATGGAGAACAAGTGTGCTACATACTTAACGTTCTGGCTGACGAAGCTTTAAAATCCGAAGAATTCGAATGGCAGAAACCAATCGTGGACATACCCGAACCCGAGGAAGCTGCTGATGACGTAGATCAAGTAGAAGATGAAACTGAAATATTACTAGACAAAGTCGAAGAGGAAATGGCAATTTATTCTGGTGAATCTGAGGAAGAATTTAACGCAGAGGAAAAAGAATCAAGCTTAGTAAAAAAAGTGCACGACTGGGAAGCTTGGAAACTAGAATTGGAAAGAGTAGCTCCAGCGCTAAGACTAAAAATATCCGCTGATGGTCGCGATTGGAGGGCAAGGCATTCGCAAATGAGAACGTATAGAGACGAGCTCTTTGAGAGATACAAAACAACTGGTTCACAACTGAATAAACTGCACACGAATATAAGTTCTGTAATGGACAAGATATCTGCAAGAGAAAACATATTGAACGAACAGTTTGAACCATTGGTAAGAGAATACGGGGCATTATTGGATGAGTTGAACAAAGTAACGAATGAATACAAGGATGTGAGTGTTGGGGTGACAGAAAGACAAGAAATGTTGAACGAATTGACTTCTAAAGTAGAGAATATAAAACAGAGAACGGAATCTAAGGGATCCTCGATGAACGACAACTCTCCACTAGTAACAGCGAAGAAGGCAGTGGCAAATTTGAAAAAAGACATACAAGATATGGATTTCCAGATAATTATCTTAATTTGGCTACTGACTACGAAAGAAAATCCTAATAGTAATAATCTTTTCACGAATGCTGAATCCAAAATGGTGGGGATCGAGAGTTATTGAAGCTTATACGAGGGAAAAATGAATTGTTGATTCTAACCATTATATAACACGGGATCCTTGGAACGCACTTGTACAGGCAGGCCTGGGCAGCCAGATATCCAGCCATGTTGTATTTATCATCATTAGAATACAATATAACTACTATTGGGGTAAATATGATTAAATGACCCAATTGTTCAGTTAAAATTTGCACTAGTATTTTGTCGTGGGTGCGTATAAAAATATACAATAGTATATAGATCTATTGTTCTGTATCCATTCATCCTTCCAATTCTACTTATCCCTTTTACAGATACTACCACTATTTGTTTTCTGTACCTGAAAATACTTTGTGTAAGAAATAAAACACATTATCCGATTAATTCCTTTGTTTTGTAATAGTACGTAAAAACATTCACTGATACACCAGTATTTTGGCGTAGTTACAACGATTACAATTAAAATAAAAAACTAAATAAAATACTCAAAAATAATACATTCTTTGGTGACAGTATAGAAAAATAGGTAACTTATTATGCTTAAATATTACAAATACGATTAAATTACTTTATTACACGAATAATTGATTTAGCTACGTAAGTTGAGATGTCTAACTTATGTAAATATTTGACGGGCAACTCGACTACTTTCAAGCTGCACTGGGGGCTCATAGAATGCACGAAGTCTGTCGAGACTGGTGAGACGGTGGCTTGATGGGAATCGAGTTCCTCGTCAAACAGTACTGTTAAACATAATAAATAATTTAAAATGTCTCACAAGAGTTGCCTCACAAAATTGACATGATTGTATACAATTAAAAAGAATTATATATGATTTGGAATGTTCATAAGAATAATACGTTAATGTCATAATAATTATCACAATAAAATAGTGTTTAAAGAGTGTGGATCATTGTGTATTTAAAGATAAGGGAATCTTTTACATTGTAAATTAAATATCTGAGAAATAATGTAACATTAACTATTTGAATAGATCATCTATTTACAACCTTAATATTTTTCTTAACAGTGCAGTTATATAAAAAAATATTTAGTCCATAGTAGTTACAAAAAGTTTCGTAAAAAAGTGAATTTGTATGGCGAACTGAAGGTTACATTTAAGGTCAATTACATCGATGCCTGGGTACCTTAGAGCCTATATTCCTTTGGGCGATAATGATCTTAAGTTTAAGGCATTTTAGCGCTGATTTTTCAATGGTTAGGTACATAACAGTTACCTGGGAAATAATTATGATGCTGTTGCGTCAGAATGTTTGTATAAGACAGTGACAGCAACAATTTTATTCCTTCGATAACATTTATCTGATTATTGAAAAATCAACCCTAATTGAATTTAAACAAAAACTAGCGGCGATGGCGCTTCACAATTTTCACACTATTCATGGAATTTTGACGCTTACTTACCTTACATTGAATAGGAAATTCATGACAAATTGATTTGTTTACAAAATAGAAAATAGCTATGTTATATCGCAAAAATTGAGGCGACTGCGTCTTTATATTTAATTTTATTTTTTGGCAAAATTTTGATGTGTCTTGTTATTTTTATTACAAACATTGAATTCCAGAAAAAAAAACTTACAAAGATATTTAAATACACAATAGAAAGAAAATGATATCACAAAATGCGGCTTAAATAATAATAATAAAAAAAACCTTAACTTGCATATAAAAAAATTCATAACATGATTGTTCCTTACTACTTATTACAACCTTTTACGTTAAATATATTTTTATCGTGTACTTTCTTGTAGTTTCTTTTATTTCCTACCGGTAGTTTCCAACTAGTCAAATTCAATACTTTTATTGAAATGTCAAAAACAATATTTTTTTTATGAATTTTGTATGAGATCGCAAATTGAGTATATTGTCAAATAGATGAATGAAAGTACGATTATTTCATTGTATTGAATAGTTAAAATAATTTATTTCTGATATGGGAAACTACCTATACATAGCCGGTTTCACAAACTCTGTACAGACATTTTCTTTAAAATAAATTTGAATAGGGAACAGAAAAAGGGGAGAGAGATTCTCTTGATCTGAAAAAAAAATGAAGGAATGTTTTCCACTGTTGATCGACTCATTCATTTAAAATTAAGTTTTCAAGTCACATTGAAAAAGAAAACAACATTTTCTCTTAGGGCTAATAAAATTATTTGCTTATAATAAATTCCATTTTTGTGTGATAAGTGTATAAAATTCTATAAAAAAAAATATACGAGATTACCTTGTATACTAACGATGTGGTACGTTTGGGGTTATGTTTTCGTTTTTTTTTGGACCAAACATTCGCCTTAATTGGGTATGAGTGGTGAAATACGGCGTAATACTTGTGTCATACTTAATCACTGAGCCAGCTTTTGTATTTCGAATCGAAGGTAGGTGAGAATAAGATTCAAAATAATTAATGAATTTTTAGTTTATGTTTAAATGTAGTCTAAACATAAATTTTGTTTTGTAAAAAGCGGGTTAGAGTTATATTTCAAATCACCATAGTAGGACCATCAGGTCGCGATATCAACATTTTGTTCATAGTTATAATCTTCTAGTAGCAAAATAACTGACTGTGACCAAGTATTGTTTGATCCGGAGTATATCTTCCGGACCTGGTCTTTAAAAATAGAACTGTGACAAAATGTTGAAAAAAGTGAAGAGGTCTTTTCTTTGGTTTTGCAAGTAACAAAACTGTTTTGTTTCAATATATATGACTTCTTGTATATAGATTCTGCTTTTAAGAATAACTAATTCGTACATAATTTCATAATATTCCCAAAATCTTTGGGTATGGTATAGCTAAGTCCTTTAACGTCATAGTCATTAGACAGTAACGATTAAACGAAGAGGACTATAAGCTACAACAGCGCCATCTACAAAGTGAAAAAAATTATAGAATTTGTTGTGACAGGAAAAATGGCTAACTGGACATAAGAAATTCCTATATTGGTGAAGTTCATTCGTAAATCATAACACGGATCAATTAGATTAATTAAAACAACCATAGTTACAAAATATTGAGGGCTATGGCGATTGAGTTAATCACCAGGGGTATAAGCGAAAGGTATTTTTCCCAACCAACTATTTGATTAGCAGACATTATTACCTGTTGCTACATTAGCGCCATCTGTTGAGTAGACCGGTATACCCAATTAATTTAAATCCTGTTCTCCTGCTTGATTTAATAATAAACTTTTAGCTTGTGCTAGATACATGGGGTCTGAATTCGAAGGCTCTTTGAACGTCACGTTGTATTTACTCTTGAGATCCTCCATGAATTCTTGTTTCAATAAGGCAAGGCAGCTGAAATTGAAATGAGTTTTATTTTAATGCACTTAAAGTGTATTTTGTGTTATTAATTTTAGGGATTTTTTTAAATTAACATTATGCAGTAATATGTTATGATGAAGTGAAAAAACTGTAAAAGAGATGAATGCCGTAAATATTTTATCTCAAGCAGGAAAAGAAATTATATAGTCCAGGTATTCAATTTTCTTACGATGTTTTCCTTCACCATTTATCAGTGGTGTCTAAGCAAGATGCCAGGGACGTGTAAACATCCTAGAAAGTAAGTACTACTCGACAAAAGTCACATTGGATCTGGATCTTGGATCACTGAATCTTAAAATAATATTCTCTACCATTTTATATCGGACGCTATTCGGATAACTATAAATAATATAATCATTTTCGAGAAAAAGTTGCCTTACCAATGGGGCTTAATAATGCGACATGAGTGCCTCGAGTTGGCTGTCTATAACGCAAACCAAACTCGGACTTGGCACTCAATAACTGACATAAGCTTATGTCATTGGGTTCATAATTTTCACAGTCCTACCATAAAAACATGCAAATAGAGAATTCGAATTTGAGTTAAATCTATCCTAATATTGTGAAGAGGTAACATTTTTAAAGTTTGTATATAGGGGGTAGTCTTTGGAACCTCTAGTCTCATTTTCAAAATTCTTTTACTGATAGATAGCTACAATGTTCCTGTGTGCTATAGGTTATAAAACATCACCATACGGCCAATAAGAGCCGAGTAGCGGGTGAAATCGAGCGTCAGTAGCTAGTTAAGTATAAAATTTGTAATATATACTAACATGCGGTAATGTGGGTCGGCCCGGAAGGCGGTGATGTCCTGTGAGGGTGCGTGCGGAGTGTGGACGACGAAGGCCCCCGGCAGCACCACCGCGCGGTAACCCTGCGCGCGGAGCTCCACGCTGTGAGACACCTGCCCACGGTACATAAAGCCATATACAATACATCCGATGGTAAGTAAATAAATTAGCACCGTCCATGGACATCCGCAACACCAGAATAGTTAAAAGACTAGAAAGTACCCCCCCCCCCCCTCCACTGTGGGGAAGGGGAAAGCGGTGAGGGGGGCAAGGAAGTACGGGGGAAAGCAATGATATTAGTATGTATAATGTTGTAATAGTGTAGTTGTATGTATAATGTTATTAGTAAAATGATGTTGATAGGTTACCTAAACAAAATTCGATTTTCAAAAACGACACACTGATACACACATGAACAATTCGTATGTTTAGACGTCAAAGTGAGATGGCATGATTCAATAATCGCGAGTGAAAAAGAGACAAATATGAAAAAGTGTGGCTAGTTAGCCACATTTTAATGTATCACTTGTTGAGCGCTTGTAACATATCTACACTTTTTTACTTATATCAGAGAGAAAGGAAAAAGTGAAAGGAGTAAGAGGGCACAAGGAAAGGGGTATAGGTAGGGGTGAGAAGGAAAGGGATAAGTCGGAAAGGGGTAAAGTGAAATGAGGAAATGTGGAAGAGGAATGGGTGAAGGAGGAAAGGACCAAGGGGGGGAGGGGGAGGAGTGGGTCTCCGGTAAACTAATTCACAATTTTTTTTTATAAAAAACTTTGCCCCACTTTAGGAATTTCTCCTGTGTTGTGGGTGCGTTTACAAACATACAATGTCACATACACATGACACCCAGACCCGAAAATAAATTCAAACAGTACAAAGCGTTGTTGTAGCAGACTAGCTTCCGTCCGCGTCTTCGCACACGGATTAAACATTAAAATAACGTACAAAATATAAGTTACCTTATTCCAGCCGAAGCCTGAGAACCTCGTATCGTACTTGGGCACAGATCTGTGCACAACTAAATACGGCTCGTAGTCTGACTGCCATTCAACCTGTAATGTACAATGTACAGAAAATGTTATCAGGAATAAGTACGAAGGTGAAGGTATATATTTTTATTTTATTTAAAAAATATACCTTCACCTTCGTTCGGCAAACGAGCAGACTGATTACCTGATGTTAAGCAATCAGCGTCTCCCATGGATAACAGCAACAACTGAGAAGTTGTGAGTGCTTTGCTGATCATTTGGGGATTAAGGATTTGGAGATTTAGGGATTGGGGGAAGGGAACCAGGTTGTTGTTGAAAATGGCTGACCCACACTTAAAAAACGGATATGCGCTTTTGTTTTCTTAACTCTCTCTCTCTAGCTAACAAGTTAGGTAAGTACTTAACAATCCTGTCTTTATTTTTTTAATAAATTATTCAGAAGAGACTGACCTCGTAGGGGGCGTTGGCAGTGGTCCACCGCGTGTAGTTGGTGGCGCGATGTCCGCGAGGCCACTCGTGCGCCCGGAAGGGGGCCAGCTCGCGGGACGCCAGCCGCGACAGCAGCGCCGCCTTGCTGCGCGGGACCGAACTACGGTAGCGCTGCGTCTCGAACGCCGCCACTACCAGGCACTAAACCATATAATTATTCTATTTATACGATACAGCTATAAGTATACTACCGCCATTAAATAAAAAAAATGAAATCTTATATATAAAAATGGATCGCAAAATGTGTTGGTAAGCGCATAACTCAACAACGCCTGGACAAATTTTGCTAATTATTTTTTTTGTTGTGTTTGATATTATCAGGAGAAGGTTCTTATCAAAGAAAATATTAGAAAAGTAGAGGGGAAGATTAAGAAAAAATGACCCTTTGATAGCGAGATAGTTGGACCCGTGCGAAGCAGGGGCGGGCCGGCAGTTCATAATAAAAATATACCTAACATGTTTTTTTACATAATATTATGAATTGTTTCATAAAAGAGCGTGAGTTATTCTTTATTTTTAATAAATATGGTATGCTTTACGATAGTTACTATTCAAAAATACAATAAAGTTAGGTCGGGAAAAAATTGCAAAAAAAACTTTTCTTACAAGAAAAAATATTTTAACAATTAAGGGCCGATTTTTCAATAGTCAGATATTAAATTTGTTGCTGTCACTGTCTTATACAAACATCCTGACGCGACTGCATCATAATTATTCCACAGACATCTTTTATCTAATCATTGACAAATCAGCTCTTAAACAAACATAGTTAATTGGCAATATGTCCTAACAAAGGGTTGCCACCTTAGTGTATAAGTTGGCTTAGCAACACAACACTAGTTTACAGTTGGCAACACACAGTGGTCATAAAGTACGGACGGAAGCACCGTGAAACAAGAAAATAAAAATTCGTCATGGAAAAATTGAACATACCTTCTTCTGGGGATAAGGGTTTATGAGTTTGATGGCGGCTTTGAGATGGGGGTAAAGGTCCACCATGGGCACGAAGTCCACGTCCATTAGGAATACGTACGGCGTGTTCACGTTAGCTAGGGCTACGTTACGGAGATAGTTTACTGGGTAGTGTACCTGGAATGTGGAATAATGGACATACAATAGGTACTTGAAACTGATTGAAAAAGGAATAACCATGGAGTTTCTTGCTCGTTTTTCACCATCGGAATCTACTTTTTGGAACGAGCAAATAACGTAAGTAGACTGATTGATAGATTGACATTAAAAAAAAAAGGAACGTTGCCCCACACTAGCATTACGTGGGTGTATTTACAAACATAAATTTTACATACACATTGCCACCCAGACCAGGAACAACAGTTTGTGCATCATAAAAAGAGTTGTCCCGTACAGAACAAAAAGTTATTCCGTGCGGGAACTAAACCCGCGACACGTTTCACGGCAGACAGAGTCATGCTTTTTAGCTTTAAGTTTTGTTTGACGTTCAAAAATTAGACCCTAATTGAAGTAAATTATTTTGAATTTGACTTTGAGAAACTTACATACGTTCTTGCCAGTGTTTGATATAAACAGTCACTAGATAGCGTGGGAATGGATCATCAAATGTTTTTTCCCGTTAAGATAAACGATTGGACACTAATTATACATATTCAAAGGATAAATATCATATGAGCGCCATCTAGTGATCATAGATAGAACTTTTTCGCGAGTCTCAGACTTTTACTATACCTTATAAAAGATAGCTTGATCTCTGCGACATGCGTCAAACTGACATTCCTAGGGTTGTCATGGTACAATAAAATATCGATAGTAATTTTCGACGTTTCTTACTTATCGATGCTAAAATTATATGTTTAATTGGAATATAATTTGGGTACTGGAATGAAACGAATATTTTAATCTAAGATAAATTTATTCCAAAGGAGTACACCCCAAATCTATATCCGAATCACTTTCAGAATGTCCCGAAACCCAAAGTTGTCGAAAGAATTTTACATGAGTAGGTTACTATTTAAATTTTATTTACTCACTATTGTAAATAATGATATTATTTTAAAATATACAATAAAATGAAATGATAAATTAATTTTGAATTAAGAAAAAATATCGATACTTTATAGTTTGTGGTCACGATGATTCATCACTCATCACTAATTAGGTCAGCATGCCCATAAAGTATGACATAGACAGGTACGTTTCTCCGTACTGTTAAATTCAGAACTTTATAGGCGCGATTTTACTGACAGCTGTCCCAGAGATCAAGCTATCTTTTACTAAGTGTAATAACAAACCACCCGATCCTTCGCCTGCTCAGGGTCGTGGTCGGTTATTATAGCGCTTGCACCCATACCCCCGACTGAAAGGTTGACAAATTTCTACAGCAAAGAAACTAATAACTTACTTGATCATGTTTGAACACTAAATGGTATCCAATATTCTTCCTGTCTCGTAGAGTATCGGACCAATTTTCGATGAAGTTCAACAACTTTCCTACGTCACAGTCGGCTAAGTATATGGCTACACTCAATGGACCTGTGGATAAATAATAACTTGGCAAAGACAAACCAATAAATAGCAAAATACATACTGTGTACTGTTTTTGGAAATGCCCCACTAGTTTCGAGTTAACCCGGAGTCCTTAATGTAATCAAGTAACTGTGAAAATAATATCAAGGGTTTTACAAGCTATACACATAAATCGTAATAACTATTTATTATAAAAGTCTAGTTCTGATCAAGATCATGATTAGCCTAAAAGTGCCCACTGCTAAGCAAAGGCCTATTTTCACACGAAGAAGGTTTGAGCATTAATTTTAAGGTGGATTGTCGATTTCAAACTTACAATTACTAATTATAAGTTAAGGTTACGTCAATGGTGTTCAAATAATCACAGAACGTACATATAACGGAAAAGGTCACATTGGCACTAGTTAGGTTTAGAACTCACATTCTCATGCATGAGAAGCGGACATACTAAGTTACTAACCTCCGGGTCACTACGGCACTAAAAGTCTTTAGTATCTCTAAAATTATAGTTAAACCCACCTTCCCAGTAATTGACAAGTCTCTCAAGGAACAGTAGTCGATCCATAGACAGTTGTAGAGCTAATGTCACGTCGAAACTGTCACTGTTTTTGTAGCTATAATCCATGAAGTAAAGATGTGTGCGGAGTTTTAATTGTTGGGCTGCACGGAAACTACTGCATAAGTCTGAGTTGTTCATCTGTGGATAAAATGATATTGTTTAGCTAAGGGTTACCGGTTTAGGTTTTTTAATCTTGGCAATTGCAATGAAGTGTGGGAGAGTTAAACTTCGGCACGTATGTGTCGGATCGACCGGAATGATACCACGGCCTCACAGAAAACCGGCGTGAAATAACCACAGTGCTTTTTTCGCCGTGTAAGTGAGGTTAACGGAGGCCCAATTCCTGCTCCGGTCCCCATCCCTTCCCAATTCTTAAAAATCCAAAACCATTATCCCCAAAAAGCCGGCAAAACACTCGTAACTCTTGTGATGTTGCAAGTGTCCATGGGCGGCGCTGATTGCTTACCATCAGGTAATCCGTCTGCTCGTTTGCTGACTTATCCCATAAAGAAAAATAGGCAACAACTGCTAAGCTTTAATCTTGTTACACTATTAGTACAAAGGTATATATTTTTTTGGATTCAGCCTCCCGTAGCCTCACACGGCGTAATACAAAGTTGTAGTTGTTTCATGTCGGTTTTCAGTGAGGCGTGGTATCACTCCGAAGTTTGGCTTTTCCACATCTTACTAATATTAAAAATGCGAAAGTTACGGTGTTTGGATGTTTGTTACTCAATCACGCCAAAACGGCTGGACGGATCTGGATGTAATTTGGCACAGGCATAGGATACACTCCGGAATAAGACATAGGCTACTTATTATCAACATACAACGCGGGTGAAGCCGCGGGCGGAAGCTAGTAATAAGTATAAGTTTATACTAACCTTGACAGTAACATGTTGTATAAAGGTGCACCGGTGGAGCTTCTCCCTTAGAAGGTAGCCATCAAAGTTGACGTACGATTGATGTATGTCACGGAAGAAATTAGCATCACGGATTTTGATGCCGTACTTCTGAGGAGAGTTCCAATGTATTATCTGAAACATACATTATTATTATTAGCAGTATTTCACTTATAAAGTGACTCTTCTGACATGGAGGATTGAACAGTAATAACAAGCTTGTGTAAGGCGGATTGGGTATTTTTTTAAACTTGTAATTAGAAATTATACAGGTTTTATTAGGATGTTTTTGCTCACCGTACATGTCAATGGCGTCTAAATAATTATATAAAATATAATAAATAACACATAACTCGAAGTCACATCAGTACAATTGATATCTACACCCCAAAAGAAGCGTTGACTTTCAGGCTACTACGACATGGTGACATGCAATGAATTATTATATATATATATATTATAATATTGTTAAGATTGGTTAAATCTTTGAGTCAGGTAAAGTTGTGGTAGGTTTATTGCTGACTAGGACAGTCTAATGGCTGTAATTCTTTCTTTTTTAAATGTAAAATGTTTATAACACTGAACGGATCTGAATGAAATAAGGCGCAGAAGTAGACTTTCGGCTGTTTTTATCTTGAAAACTTGAATGAAATGACTGGTAGAGAACCGTCCAAAGAGAGACAACAAAATATGTGAACACTAGTATTGCAGTTTTTTTTAAATCGTTGCCCCACTCTTTGATTCTCTCCTGTATCGTAGGTGCGTTAACAAGCGTACTAATTCTCATACACAGGTTATCCAGACTCGAAAGAATAATTTGTGAATCACACAGAGTATTGTCCCGTGCGGGAATCGAACCCGCGTTGCGCCAAGCGTGCAGTTAAATCAAGTTCGTCCGACAAAAGCAGCTTACCTTAATATTATCCTTATTTTCCCTGTAACAATTTTTCGCTAGAGTCGTAGTAGACATTTGTACATTGTAAAGACAGCTCATGTCATAGACAAACCGAGGTTGATTTTTAATAATGGCGTTGATAACATCTTGGTCAGCCAAAGTTGTGTAGTTCAGTCTTTTTATGTTTTCGTTGACGGCATCCCGCCATAGCCTCGTCCAGTCCGTGGTAGTCCGGATTTTTTTTAAATCTAGCAACATTACTCCTGTATTATATCCTCGGCCAAGTGCCGGCCAGCGGTTTGGTTTGTTCGTGTAATACCAATTGCTTTCATTCTCCACTAGGCCTATGAACTGTGAAAAATTGTGACTTATATATTTTTTTGCAATATCCGTCTTAGAAACAGCGGCAAAAATAATGTTAAATACAAGAGTGACAGTGTAACCTAGATTATTTGCTGATGTCCTTGTGTCGTATTGATTCTTTAATTTTGGCATACTTGGGTAGACAGATCCCATTAACGAACACAACGCCATCTAGCGCGCACAAAAGTTAGCTCGAGTGCAAATCAGAGCCTGAGCAACTTACAAGCAAAAAATCTTTTGAAAAACTACATTAGAACTTAATTAAAAAATGTTTATGTTATTCTTAATCATAATAAATAATTGATTCTTATTACTAGAATATTAAGTTTACCTGGTCATCAGTCATATTTCTGAACATCGCCCATAGCTCAGCGACGTCACAAAGGAAAGTCAGATCAGAGTCCAGTACAATCGCTTGACTGATGGAGTCAGGTAGGATGTCTGGGAACAATAGCTTCACAAGGGCGTATATGCCAGAGTAGTGGCTGTTTCTAATCCATTGAACTTGTGACAGATAGCCTTCGGCGTTATAGCATGAGTATTTCACTGAAACAGTTTATTTATTTTATTATAATAGGTTCACCATCAGTTCGATGCAGAAATGTAAAAAAAATTAATTCAAAAAGAAGTATTATTTGCAACACTGACTTTATACATCAGTTATCTTAATAATTGTTTATGGTAGTTTCCAAATAGTCCTTTATTCAACACCTACTTACTTATTATGAAATGTCAAAAGCATTGTCAATGAATTTTATGAACTGGGACATTGTGACGTCGTCATACTTTTTGTACGTCAAATAGCGCGCTTATTTCTTTTGAATTATCTAATATACATATCTATCTAATGTAGATTGTAAAATCCAAATCCAAACTAATATTATAATGCGAAAGTAATTCTGTCTGTCTGTCTTTTATTCACGTCTTTTCGCTGCATGAGTGAGATTACCGGCGGCTCAATCCTATCCCCCTATCCTCAATCTTCAAATCGCCTATCCAAAATCCCTAAACGACACGAGGCTTGAAACACATTTGTAGTAACTACTTTGGTCATACGAGTGTCCATGAGCGACGTGGATCGCTTACCATCAGGAAATCAGCTCGTTTGCCGAACTATGGCATAGAAAAATCTAGACAGTTTTGAAATATGTACTTATTAAATGCTATAACGAAAATCCACTAAACTAAACTACATTACAATTATTATTTTAGAGACGCGAACATGGCGAAAGAACCTTCACACACAAAAAAAAGAATACAAAATCTGCTTTGTATTTTCGAGTTCTGTGCTTATCAATACATGTGTAGATAGCGGAAAACGATTCGTTTTGAATTACCTCAACAAACATTATTGATTCGAGGATATTTTTAGTACTTACAAAATATAACAAACAAAAATCTACTATTCTAATAAGTCTCCAAACTTTTTTTTAAAGTTTATGGAAATGTTATTCTAGTTTCGTCTACCTCTTTATCATTAAATATCGAACATAGGTCTATTCGTAATTTGCGGCGATCAAAATGTTTCTCAGTGATAGCAGCACAAAGTTTGATAACACTCCCAAAGAAGCGCGTGAGGGAGCTATCCTCCTTCTCACGCCTCTCAACCGCCGCAGTAGGCGACACTACGGGCGTCGGGGATCGAGAAATGATCTCCGGCCACCATAAGCGCGGGTTTGCGGGTAGCTCACCGCCCGACCAGCAGCGAAGCAAAAGTAGATAGTAAGAGTCTGATATGAAACTTCCTCTAGCTTCACCCTGGGCGAGAGAAGTTATTAGATGATAGATGATGCCCTCCTCCCCCCCCCTCTAAAAAGGATAATAGAGTATGGAAGTATGTCTCCTTACCGTCAGGCAAGTCCCAAGTATCAAACAGCATGTTAATGGTTCTATGTGAATTAGTATCGACGACAAAATGAAAGTGTATGGGGTTCTGCCTGTGGTGCATCAAGGACTTGATCATTGGAGTTATTTGCCTGGAACACTTGCCCATACATACAAGCGCTATGTGCACAGTTTCACATAGAGTGCCGACTGCATCTGGAATCTAACAAAACGATAACATATTATTTTGTCTTTTTTTAAGCAAAAATAAATATTAATGTACTTAATTAAAAAAGTAGGCTGCGCGACGTCGCCGCGTCCGCGCACGCTGCTCATGAGCAAGAACCCCTTTGTGGTTAGAAACTAGTAGAGCTTTTCTCAATATATACACGTGAGTAACCCGCTATTTTTAGTTAATTTAGTATGTCTCACGATAGTTATTATAAAAATATTAATGTACTTATCTAGTAACTCTTTACTTGCTTAGCATAAAGTGTTTTCCAATGAGACTTTTTATAATCAATTTGTCAGTTTAGAGCAACCATTTGTTTTTCTATTGTTTAATACAGATTGAATATAAGGTAATAGAGCCAGATTGATGCTCAAGTGAGCTGCTAAACAATAGTTGAGTACTTAAGATCTCGTTATTCTTTGCAATGATCAAATTTGACAGGTTCCTACGAATTTTAAACACAGCATACTTTTAAATACGAATACTAAGTATGTCATAAAAATCACGAAGCGAAGGTGATTACGTTTTTACAGTTTATTGGATTGAAAAAAGAAAATACCTACTTATTGGTTTGACTAAGTAAATATTACCTGGGTATAATTATTATCTTAAAAAAACTTAATTAAATAAAAAGCGACTTTGTTTTATTCTAAGTATTAAGTAATAATTATAGTCATAAGTATAGTACAGATAACTTACCACAGGAACTTCGTAAGTAGTCACGGAGTCAACAGATATCTTTTTCACCAAAGTATTGTACTGTGAATATTTCAACTGTGTCTTGAAAACTTTATTCTGTGATTCTAACAATGTTATTTTTGATATTAGCCACCAGAAGTATAATATTAGTCCGATTACAAAACACGCAGCCAGCCAATGTCTTGTGCTTTTTGCTTTCATCTTCATTCTGAACCCTAGAGTCATTGTCACTAAGTCAAATTTGTCTTGTCCTGGCGTTTTGATGTCCGCTTCTAATGAGATTGAGTATTTTATTCACAAACGTGTGTAATTCCTTACTGATGAACATTATTTTGTCTGAAACAAGTTTTCAAGTACTTATTATTGTATTAAATGAAGAATATAATTTTTAAATTGTATAGGATGTGTAGGAGAGCTATGCTTCGGCACAAATGGACTGGTCTACTGGAGTGATACCAATGCCTCATAGAAAACCGGCGTGAGACAAAGCTTTCGTGTACTTTCATTGCATGAGAGAGGTTACCTAGATCCTATCTTGCCCAGCCTCAATTCCCAGTCCCCTAATCCCCAATTTCCCAATTCCTAATACCTAGCCGTGTGCTACCCAGGCAGAGCTGAATATTTGTGTCACCATCCCTTCTCACCTAACCCAACCTGCTTGCTAAAAGTGTGGTAAGGTATTTTCAAATCTGTCCTAATATGGGTAGTTACAGCTCACAGAAGTCTGGAACGCCTTCTGTTCCTGTGGCTATCTAATGAGGCCAGACTAGAAGATTGCTGTAGGTTGAACTGGAGCATCAAGGAGTTGTCAGAAGTCTGATGAGAGAGTGAGGATCAAATAACCATGAAATCTGGGAATCTACTATACCACTGGGAGGGTCACAAACTGTCCCAAGGTGGCGTCTGGTATCTCATCTACAGGTCTCTTGGAGAACCCTACATTGGCTGCAGGTAGCTTCTAAGTGGCCCATCTGAAAATCGTTGGAGGATGCCTAGGTTCATCAATATTTTGGCTGTGATGTTGATAAAATTTAATTTAATATTTTGTAAGCCTTATCACTACTATACATATAGTTTGTTTCTTCAATTTATCTAATATTGTTGATTTTTTGCAATACCTTTTTCTGATATTATTTTTATATCAAAATTGATTAGGAATTATATGATTATGATAAAACTTAATATTTTGACAAAGTATTTACACTTAGAAGTTACTACTACTTATTAAATATTACTGTTTATATATTTAATCTTATAAAATAAATTTTCATTTTACATTCTATGGTACCTATGCCAGGCATTTGTTATAGCCGAAATAAGTAAAACATGATCTACACATAAAAAAATATTTTTGAAGAAATTTCACTCCATTAGTTCATTACAGTATGATTGTTTTATTATATTAACTATAAAATTTAATAATCGGTAGTCAAACATGGGATGTATCTATTTATCAACAAAATATATTTATAAACAAACTAAATATCCAAATAAATAATGTTTAACACTTTCTTACCTTCCATCCACAACGATTTCAACAAAACCGGCGCATCTTGTCTCGCAGAGAGTAAACAGATTACCAATAGTACACATGTGTAATAAAAATTATCGACACAGTTCAATTATAATTTCACGAACCATTTGGTTTAGTAATTTCTTTATGATTTGATGTAGAAAAACATATTTTTAACACAGTCACTTTAGTATAGCAAATTCTTTTATCGATGCATTTTGTTTGTTACGTTTACTTGCTGAATTTATACTTATTTACGCATTTTTTTAAATAATTTTACCGAAATTGTATTGTATTTACTTAGCCAAAAACGTTTGACTTCTTTCTATTTCTATCTGTCATCTGATTTTTTTTTTTTTTTAATATTATTTGTTCCTTGGGAACAGGCTAAGGTCCGAGACCATACCGCCTAGTCATTAGTTTTGTTTTTATTAAAGTGTATTTTACTCATCCATATTTTTTTTAAGTTATTCATTTGTTTTCAATCCAAGATTAAGTCATTAGTTTTAGTTAAAATCATAAGTAGAGTTAGTAAAGTATAAATTCATTCGTATATTCAATCCTAAGAAACTCTAGCGGGCTGTCACAATAGGTAATCTCCACAGAACAAATTGTAGGTATGTTCTGTTCTGTGATAGATAATGTCACTTGTCAGTCACAATTACCTAGTCACTAAGTCATGTAAAAGGTGCAAAAAACTCAACAGTCGACGTGAGTCGACACGTGGTCAACCTCACTCAAACAAAATAAATAAATAACAAACGTGAATGAAAAACAATAAAATTTTTTCCAAGCAAACAAAACCTATATACAATTTTAATTCAACAATGCTAGACAGAATACTATTTATTTACATTTAAATTTGTTCTACCGTACTAATTATAAATTTGTACAAAGCTAGATAAGTTGCATTATTTACAAGGAGATCCTGAATGGAGCGCGGGACTAGATTCGAACACTTATAAATTTTGATTAGCTCATCCATTAGCACAAGGCGCTGAATGCCAAAGGATGGGCAACTAAAGAAAATATGATCCAAGGATTGCTCTACCTCAGTATCGCAGAAATCGCAAGCCGAAGATTGTACCATTCTAAGACGATATAGATGAAAGTTTAGACGACAATGACCAAAGCGGAGCCTCAAGATGGTTGTGTAAAATTTCCTACAAAGATAACTATTATTTTGACAGAACCATGGTTTGGAATTTATTGAATTGTTAAGTGTTGCATACCATGATCCTTTATTCTGTATTTGTATTGTATGATGTTTTGTCCACAAATCTAATAACCTTTTCTTTAAAAGAGAAACAATATCTGAGTATGGAGTAAAAATATTAAGTTGGCAACTTGAATCAGGGACATACTCTGCAGAATTCGTTATTGTTCGAGCTAAGAAGTCAACTTTTTCGTTTCCTGATACACCACAGTGTGAGGGGACCCACATAAAATAAACTTCAAAACCATCCCTAAACAGATCTAACCAACTTTGTTTAATAGAAAATATGAAATAATTAGTGTTAGCATTCAATTTGTTATTTTTAAGATTTTGTAAAACACTCATGCTATCACTAACTATGACCCATTTATAATGACCACCATTTTTATGTTTTATGTGTTTTAAAGCTGCAAGAATAGCCACAGCCTCAGCTGTGAATATACTTGCATTAGCGTTAATTTTGTAACCAGTGCCTAAATTCAATTGCTCATCAAACATTGCAAAAGATACAGCCGACTCAGTTTTCGAACCGTCTGTGTAAATGAAATTGAAACCACTAAATTCAGTGAATCTAAAATAAACATCTTCTTTACAGTTTAGTTTGCTATCAATAATTATGTTAATTGCAGGAAATTTACTTTCAAAATCACCCTGATAACAGGGCAGCAACTCTGACTGATAAATATGCAATCCTTTAAGAAATGTATGAAATTGAAGAAAGCCCTGAAGAAAATAAGGAGATTGATGAAAAGATACAGAAGAAGATCGTGTTAAATAAGACAAAAGGTGATTATTACTTTTACTGTAAAGTTTTAATATGAACTTTTCTTTTAGAAAAGAAAACCTGACATTCATTGGCGGCAGATGGCACTCAACTTGTAGTGAATTAATTGGTGTGCTTTTAAATGCTCCAGTAATAAGCCTCATACTTTTATTTTGAATTTTATCCAATAAATCTACCAGATTACTATTACCAGCGAAACAAAGAAACCCATATTCAAAATGACTTCTTATAAGAGATTTGTATAATAATAGTAATATTTTAGGGTCAGCACCCCAAGATGTTTTACAGAGTGTTTTTAAAATATTAAAAGCTTTGTTAGCTCGTATGGTTAATAAATCAACATATTTATTCCATTTAAAATTTTGTGTAAAAATTACACCTAAAAATTTTGCCTCATTAGAATGAGGAATTGGAATTTTGTTATAGCATACTGCAGGACCACAACTATCTGTTTTTCCGAACAATACCACTTTCGATTTTAGAGGATTAATATCAAGGTTTAAATAAGAAAAATATTTATACAACCCTTCTAGCGCCTTATTTACAACATTATTAACATCAGATATTTTTTTTCCAGATGCATAAACCACCAAATCGTCAGCAAATTGCAGATTTTTAACCTCAGGACCCAAAATTAAATTAAGCCGACGTATGTACAGTACAAAGATCAATGGAGAAAGTATACCACCCTGACAAACTCCAACAGATGCAAACCTTGGACCATATAATCTAGAGTTATATTTTACAAATACTTCTCTATTTGTTAAGAATGTATGTATCCAGGAAACTATTTTGCTTGGGATTGCAATTGACAATAACTCCGAACAAAGAACATCTATATTGACACTGTTAAAAGCACCAGCAACATCAAAAAAGACAGACATCAAAAAATTTCCATTATTTATACTATTTACAATATCAAGCTGAAGCTGACAGATACTTTCACGTGCAGATGTACCCCTTCTGAATCCAAATTGATTAGAAGGTAGGATATTATTTTTCTCAACATAGAATTCTAATCTTTGTTTTAAAAGTTGTTCAAAAACTTTACCAACACAAGAAGTTAAGGCAATAGGGCGATAGGAATCTGGATGAGAAGTAGGTTTATCTGGTTTTAATATGGGCACTAAACAATCAGATTTCCAAGAATTTGGTATTTTATTATTCAGCCATAAATAGTTCAAAACTTCTAAAAGTATTTCAAAGCTATTTGAATTAAGATTTTTAAGCATAACATAAGGAATACCGTCTAAGCCAAATGCAGTGTCTCTTCTGGAAAAAACGGCAGACTCTAATTCCTTCAACGAAAAAGGCTTAACCAAGAAGCTATCGGAAGAATCAATTGAACTGGACAGGGACGAATAACACTTGTTACTGACGTAGTCTGGGGTGTACTTTTTTAAAAATTGGGGGATCCAGCTGTCATCATTTTTACTATAAAAATATGTTTTGTTATATTTACGCATAAAATTCCAGATTCGGGATATAGGAGTACAGCGATGAAATGAGCTACACAGTTTGACCCAACTATTAGTCCTCTCAGTTTTTAAAGTAAGTTTTTTAACAGCCTGAAGTCTTTTGAATTCCATGTAAGTTTCATCTGATGGATTATTTTTAAATTTAAGGTATGCTAGTTTTGATTTATTAACTACCTCAGTACATTTTTGGTTCCACCATGGCAAAGGTACCTTTTTAAAAGACTTTCTAACAAAATTACTATCCTTGGCAAGTGAAACACTTTTTGGTATTGATTTTTGAACAGCCAAATCTAATATTTTGATGAATTCATTATACGCATCCAAAGGCGTAAAATCCTGGGCCTGAAAGTTGGTCAGTAAAAAGTCCACCTCCTGAGCATAAATTTTCCAATCAACCGATTTAAAGCTGTAAAAATTAGGCAGGTTTTTACCAGTTTGTACATTATTACTTACACTATTATTAACAAAAATGTTTATCATTATAGGTAAATGATAACTGCCGAGAGGATCATTATATACCGACCAATTAGAGCAAAGTGCCAGTGATGGAGAAACCAAAGTCAAGTCTAAAGCATTCGGACGCCACGTCAATGAACCAATCGTGGTAGCCTCACCGCTATTCAGAAGGACCAAGTCATTTTCATCAATTACTTGCAAAATATCTCTGCCTCTAGGATTAGTAGAATTACATCCCCAAGATGTATGATGAGCGTTAAAATCGCCTGCAAATATAACTGGCTTAGGTATGGACTTTATTAAATTTTCAAACTTCAATTTATCAAAGGCTGGAGAACAATTAGTTGGACAATAAAAACTTACAATACTAATTTGTTTATTTTTTACAGTAATATTTACACAAATATTTTGTAAACAATTGTCATAATAAGTATTAATTTTATTATATTTTATACTTTTATGTATTAAAATGGCTACACCATTATGTTTACTACCAATGTCATTTCTTTCAATTTTGTAATTTTTTATATTGAAAATCTTTTGGGGTTGTAACCAGGTTTCAGAAATAATACCTATGTGAATATTGTTTTCATTTAAAAATTGTGTAAGTAAAAACTTATTACTAATGATGCTTTGGGCGTTCCATTGCATTATATTTATTGTGTCCATTATTTGGAGGGAGTATGATTATTTCGGAATGTTTGATGTAATATTTCTTTTATTGATATTGAATTAATTGGTTTATCTTTTTGTTGTAAGATTATTTTAGTAATTGCTTGGGTCAATATATTCATAAAAGTATCTGATTTGGTTAAATTTTGTATTTGCGTCTCTAAAGTTTTAGCATGTAATTGTGGAAAATTGGTTTCTTTAAATAATTCTGAATATTTAATAGACATGGATTTTATTTTATTTTGTTCTACTTTTAATTTCTTTTGTGGACACACATTGGAGATGGCAATATGATTACCTCCACAATTTGCGCACTTTGCATCATTTTTTGGGTCTTTTAAACATTTTTTATAATTGTGTCCCTCTGCACATATTGAGCAAACCTCTGTGTTTCTACAAAACTTTGCAATATGTCCAAATCGCAAGCAATGCAGACATTGTTTTACCGGAGGCACATATACGCTTACTTCATGTCTCCAATTATCAAGGTACACATACTCTGGCAACTCTGTTGAGGCAAATGTGACTGCCACCGTTTGGGTAGGTTGGAACGATGCTATACCTTGCTCAGTTCTAACACGTCGCATGAACCGACGTACCTGAATAATATTGCGGGAACTTCCTATCAGAGAAAAAATCCTTTCATTTGAGAGCCCTATCGGGACAGAAGTAAGTACTCCAGTGACCTCAGTATCAGACGCCGGAATAGTAGCTTTTAATTTTAATTCGTCTAATAGTTTTTTATTT